GTAAACAGCGTATGCTGTTCTGTGTCAGCTGCATCACACAGATACACTGTTTTCGTTCAGATCAATCACAACAACATTGGAAACAGATCCGTGTTTACGTCCAGCGGATACTCTCCAAAATGGCACCAGGGTGATGTGGAGGAGACGAATTGTTGAATAAAGTCATAATTTATTTTTCTTTTGCGCACAAAAAGTATTCTCGTAGCTTCGTAAAATTACGGTTGAACCCCTGATGTCACATGGATTATTTTACAGATCTCCTTGCTACGTTTCTGGACTTGGGAACATTTCAGTTGTATTGCTGTCTATGCAGGGTCAGACAGCTCTCAGATTCCATCAAAAATATCTTAATTTGGGTTCCGAAGATGAACGAAGGTCTTACGGGTTTGAAACGACATGAGGGTGAGTAATTAATGACAGAATTTTCATTTTTGGGTGAACTAACCCTTTAACTATTCAGAATCATGTTTATCCAGACTTCCTAATATTTTTATTGAATATGGAACGGAATGATGATGTTTTGGCCTACTTCTCCATTCAGGGCGCAGTTGGGCAGCAGCCTCCACTGAAGGGTTGCTGATCTACTCTCTTGACGCCTCACTGGTGTTTGACCCCTATGATCTAGACATGGATGTCACACCGGCAAGCATACGGCAGCAGATGAAGAAAAAAGAGTGGGCATCAGCCATTTTGCTGTCTTTTCGGCTAAATGAAATGCCACTCATAAGAGAGGTTCTGGAAGCAGTTCCGTATGACCAAAGTATGTTCCCTCCTAAAATTGTCAAATATGTTGTCATATTCAAAATACATAATTTTGTCATTATTTTTATCTTATTGTTTGATCTTTTAGTTACGGTGGTATGTAGCTCACTGCCAGATGTGTATGTGGATAAGCTTCTGAACTTTGTGGCCTCAACATTGGAAAAGTCCAACCACCTGCAGTTCTACCTCAGCTGGGCTCAGTGTCTGCTTACCTTACATGGACAAAAGCTCAAGAACCGGTCAGCAGCATAGCTCTTTTCAGAATGAGCTCACACTGGTTTTAAGTTATTGAATTCGTGTACTATATTTGCTTATACTATATTTTCCCTTAATTGCCCATTTTTGCACTTAAATTGGCCATTTGGCACAAATAATATGCGTAGAGACAGAATTAGCTGTTACATCACATTATCATACCACTGGTAAGTTAGCTAGTTTTAAACACATCAAATGTCTTTATCTCTTTAAAAGGATGATTTTTGGACTGACCCACATCCAAGGTCTTCTTGACTATCCAAAAATTAAAAGCATACAATGTCATATTTTTGATATTCAGTTAATTGTAGTAAAATCTATTTTTTTATTTACTATTGGGAGGAATATATTAAATAATACATGTTTTTAGTTTTTGACACAAATTGATGTCAACCTCAGTTATTTAACCCTGTAATGGCTGTATAAAAAAGTAGTAAAGGTTGATCTCCTGAAGATGATCAATATTTTTTGGAGGTTAAACACCTCCTTTCACTGCTGTTTATTTTTCCATGCAGAAAAGTAAGGAAAATGTTTTATGTCCTATTTTGCAGTGTTTTATCTTTTGTTGGTGAGCACTGTAAGACTGTTCATGTGTCTCATTTTCAGATCTGGAGCTGTATTGCCTACTGTACAGCAGCTACTGAAGAGCATCCAAAGACACAGTGATGATCTATCCAAACTGTAAGCTTGACAGAATTCTAAAAAGGAAGATATTGTTAATGTTGCCATGAATATAGCCATTGTTGCTGACATGGAATTAAAACACAAATAAATAATTCTACAAAGGAAACAATGTTAGTTTCTCTTTCAAGTTTAAATATAACTTTTGTTTTCTTCCCAGTTGCGACTGGAACATTTACAACATTCGTTACGCCGCTGCTCTGTCTAAACAGAGAGGGATGAAAAGAACAGCAGCAGAATCCCTCAGTGATGAAGAGGAGGAGGAGGAGGAGGAAGTGGAAATGGACTCCGGAGGTGATGAGGAGAATATATATAATGAATGAGTCTATAGTGCTGGAAAACTGATCATGAACACTTCAACTGAAACATAACAGAGCCAGGTCAGGGCTTGGACGAGCAGCAGTTATTATGCAGGTTTATGTCTTTTGTCAGTGTAAACATGGACAGACAGCACCTACAAACTTGTTAGAAATGAAATGACACAGTTTAAATTTTATATATAAAATTTGAACATTGGCTCAACTGTTGGTAAATGTGTTGTTTCTACTTTTTTATTCTTGTATAAAAGATGTGGAAGCTTGTTTCTGCCGGAAAAAAAGGGGTAATTGCAACCTATTTTAAAATTCTGACTTTTTTTCTTGCAATTCTGAATTTATATCTCACAGTTCAGACTTTTTTTCCCCCTCCCAGATATTAATTTACAATTGCAAGGAAAAAGTCTAAATTGTGAGAAGTTGCAATTACCATTTTTTGTTTGTTGTTTTTAATCGTGATGGAAATAAGCTTCTATAGAAAATGATTTTTGTCTTATAATAGAAAAAATGTTGATTTAAATATAGAAAGAGTGTTCACAGAGTTTGTTTCATTGGATTGTTTTCAAATAGACATAGGCTGCCATAGCTTCTTTACATGCCTAATAATGCTGTCTTTGAGCACAGTGTCTCCCAAATGATATCTGTAATGATTTATGTCCCATTTGGCTGCAACTTTAATGCCAAGCTGCATGACAGTTCATAAGACTGTCCATAATTTTTGCATAGAATTGTAGTTACAGTATTGTTTCCATAATGTATGCTTTAAATTTGCTGTGTAACAGGATGGTGCTTGAAACATCAATCCTTTCCACAACCACCCCACATTCCTGAGGATTACTGATGGTGAAGTCTCTATCAGTGGGTCTTTTTTACATTAGTGTTCTATAAGGGCTGCACAAGTAGGGAAGAGTGGGGTAAGTTGTGCAACTAGGCATAGAGAGATTAAACGGCTAACCCCAAAGCATACTGAGAAAGGATTCAGTTAATAATCTTCATGATCTTATGCATGGGCATTTCACCAACAAGTATTAAACTTCAGACCCTGAAAAATGTGAGCTTTTGGACAATGTCTTGGCCACCGGTTTCAATATTTTTAAACTGAATAAAGACTCAAAAGATTAAAGTTTTCCTAAGCCATATTGTATGAGGAACAGACAGATATTGAAGATTACTGAAAATGTTGACTTCAGTTCATGAGAGAAGTAGTGATTAAGTTGGATCTTTTTAGTGGGGATAAACTAAATATGAACAAGAAATATTTAATCTATAATGTATAATGGGGACAAGTAGGCTATAAAGTATTATAATCAATGAATGACAAGCATGTGTGTTGAAGTCTATGAGAGTCACAGATTTCTGCTAGAGAACAAGAACCAATCAGTTCATTTTAATCTTCCATTTGGAACACTTACTTCGATATAAAGCAAACTGTCTCATGACATGAAGTCATACTGTACAATACTATACAAGCTTGGTCTTATTGGTTTATTTCCTTTGTGGTGTTGTTTCACATATGTTGTGAAATGTTATTAAAATGGTTCATAGAGAGAAATGTTTGGATGAATTCTCTAATATTCCCCAAGTGCACAGATAAAGCTCTCTTTTGTATTATTTGTGTAAAGAACATAAATCATGAAATAGATTTCATAGTAATGTTTATTACTTCGAAAATTGTATTACTTCATTAGTACATTCAAAAAAACATTTTAACCAAAATAATTTTCTTTTTATGTTCCATCTTTTTAAAATCCTTACATTATAAAACACATTAAAATTTTAAGATTTATGCATTCCATACTCATTTAAAATGCCAAAACTTCAGTGGATTTATTATAAGCAGAAAAACCATAGGCTATAAAAAGGGATTATTTTGGTGTGCTCTAGCTTTAAATACAACTGTTTTGCTGTATTATAATGCCTGCTTGCTCTGTCACTCAAGAGGGTTTTCTTGCTACAAGATGAAAAACCACCTCAAAGTCAGACACAGAGTTGCTCTCTGTCTTCTGCAGGCAGTAGGGGAGAGTGGGGTAAGATGAGCCACTTTTTACTTATGTGGTCCTCAAGATAAGGGAAAACGATGCAGAAGTACAATCAAAGTATCTAAAGTAACTTCATGGTGTTTCCTATCATTTTAAATGATCAGAATGTATCTATGACAAATGGTTCTAAAAATATGGCTTATAAAAAAAGTGTTCCTGTGGCTCAGTTTGCCCCAGTGTGGGGGTAAGTTGACCCCAGTCAATGAGTAAGATGTACCATCTGGTTGTAAACTGACCATCTGACTGAATCTGGTTCAAGCCCATGTTAAATTTGAAAGATAATTTACCTCTTTTAAAAACTAATTTAATAATCAAATTTCCTTTTTCAAACAGTCTTATTTCTTTTCTTAAAGCTAATGTAAACAACATAAAACCAACCAAATGAACATTTCAATCTTTAATTGTTTGCATTTCTGAAACAATATGTTTAACACCAAAGTTGTAATCTTCCCAAAAACAGACTAAACAGAGAGTTTGTTGAGTAAAATAATAATAAAAAAAACAATTAGAATGAAGGAATAAATGTCACTGAAACTAATGAACAATTTAGTCAAATATTCTTGGCATGGTAGCTTTTCTGCAATGTCGAACAGGCCATTAGGGACTACAGGTGGAAAGATATATCTGATTATAATGTGATGAAAAGCATCTTCTGGTTCTTATCAGATATGGATTTGGATTTGATATATGGTCACATGACAATAAAAGTGTACAGTTGGCAAGTTACAGGGGGTGGGTCAAGTTACCCACTGGCTCATCTTACCCCACTCTCCCCTATATTAAACTCGTGGATTGAGAGGCCAAAACCACTGAGCGCTTCCTCAATATTATCCTGACTTAGTCTAAGACAAGAAAAGAGCTGATCATCTACCTTGTAGAAGCTCTCACCCAGAACACCAATCATTACCAGAAGTCAACTAGGACACAAAAGTTTGGTCAGCCCATGTAAAGCACGACAGTATGTTTGAATGTCTTTACACGCTGCTTCCAGACAGAGATGTTACACAGTCAGCTGGTTCCAGGGACATCACATTTTATAACTTTCTTGACTCCTTGCTTCAGTGTAGCCTCCAAATCGGACGGGCAGCTACAGTTCAAAGATGAATTAAAAGATAAATAATTTAGAACAAAATACAAAGAAGTGTTTTAGGAACTTACTGTATAAAACTGTAGGCTCTGTCATATTTATGATGGGTGTTTCTTCAACTTAACACAGTTTTACCATTGCAATTAGTCTTAGCCAGGCAAAGGAACCTGCATTTTAATTCAAAGTTTAAAATGTGATTTACACCTCCCTCCTGCTATTAAGCAATTAAATGTGATTGTTTTTCTAAATGTGATGCTACCACACCCCCCATAATTTACCTAGGGCGGTGCAGGGGAGGGAGAGAGGGGCTATAAATTCCCAGATGATTGTGCCTACTGCTTCCTTGTTTTTTAGACCATGGAACTGAATTTCGTGGCCTACTGGTTCATCGTCGGGACGGCGATGCAAATAGGTGGGATGGATTGTGATGGAATGAATATTGCTATCACAACCCCCTCTGCTGGAGAATAGGAGGAACTCACTACAGGTTTAGCTGCGTCCATCACCGGCTGGTGAATGATTAACATGATTGTGTCACAATAAAAGTAGAGCCTGCCAGTGGCGTAGTGAGCACTTGGGTAAGTTCCCACACCTCAAGTTTTCTGTTGTGTCGCCCTTGCTTGGTGGAGTCGTGTGTTGTGGGTTTTCTGTTCTTATTTTATTGGCGTGTAACCCAAGTCTGTATCCTGCAGTTCGGGTGCAGCGAGATGTCATAGCGGGAGCTTTTTCATAACAGTCGGATTGACCCAGTGAGTATGATCTTTTTATGGGGGGCGGTTTTATATTGTAAATGTTTAAGTTTCATGCACGTTAGTGTGTGTGCAGGTTTAAGGGGGAGTGCCTATCGGCTTCTGTCCAGCGTAGAGCCGTGGAGTGGGTCAATATTTGGCAGGACGTACGGCCTAGCCCGCGCTGCTGTTTTGTCTCTAAGGTTCCTGCTGTGTTTATTGCCTTCCTTATCTTTATTAGATTTGTTTTGATTATTTGTGGTTTCTTTGTGTCCGTTGTTTGATGGTTTTGGGAATATTAAAGGGTTTATTTAGTCGTTTTCTTTTCCTAACTTTTTGGGTAATGGTGATCAAGACGGCTGATGTGATATACTGTCAGTGATTTACGGGGTTGATTAGTCACGTACCCTGATGTTTTGCATATATCTGTAGTTTCCTTTTTACTTATTTTTTTGTGTGTGTGTACTTGTATATTTTGTTTTTGTGTTTCTTTGTCAGTGCTGAGACCCCATGTATTCTTTGGTGCAGTGTGGAACACATATATTTTTATTTATTTATTTTTCTGTGTGTGTGGAACATAGCCGTAGTGGGCTACTATTGCAAATTTTAGGTCAAGGTTGCGGTCTTTTCCTTGATTTATTTCTCTGCTTTACTGTCTCAAAACAAAGTTAACAAGGTCAACGTAGTATGGAAGGGCATTTCCGCCATGAAAAAAGTAGGCCTAATTGCGACTTGTCGTAATTGAGAAACTTTTATATAAATATAAGAAACTTTATAATA